AGATATAAAAAACCGCTGTCACCCACAAGTATGCCAGGGAAATTCTTTGATTTTTCGCCCAACCAGAAAATGGTAAAGGACCCAAAAATTTCCAAACAGATGCTGTTTGCTTGAGTGTTAGGATACATGCCCCTAAAACATAGCACATCGGAGGACCCATAGAAGTTTGTTAAATCTGGGGGAATACAAAAATTTTTGGGGTGAAACTTTTATTTCTGAGTAATTTTGAGACTTTAGAGTTTCAGATTTTACCTAGCATGCCAGTTTATTTTCATCATAAAAAATTAAAAAAAGTCCCCGGTTATGGAAACCATATACAAAAAAAAAAAAGTGAGTTTAAAAAAAAAAGGGCCCTGTTAGGCTACTTTTTTTATAAAAAAGTTATTAGAAAAAAAGGGGCAGATATCTGTAGTTGTAAAGTACTTTTAATTCAGTTTTTTCATGGGCCCATTTCTCTTTTTTCACAGAGCAATGTTTCTGTTCCATTTTCTCCCCTAGGGGAAAATCGCTCAGATGAAATGTAAACAGAAACTTTGGTGTTTTGGGCATTCTGTAATGTCAGGCTGAAACAATAGAGTACAGGAGAAAAATTTCAAAAAAGAAGTTCTTTCCCAAAAGGGAAGTATTTTTAAATGTTTTACTCACAGGCTAAACTTATCTTTGGTTGTGCCCCCAGATTCACACAGTGAAGAGTCCTTTGCCAAAATTTTCGGGTTTGTAAATTTTTTTCCTGGATTAGTTGGTTTAGGGGAAAGCTTGACTTTTCAAGTATCCAGTAGAATTAAAGAGGCATCAGACAAGATGGTCTTGGGCAAAAAAAAATGCTTGTTCTGCTATCGGATTTTTCCCCGCAAATTTTTGCAACCCTACTGGATATCATGAAACTTTAATGCCATAGGGTAACCGAAGCAAAAGGGGCCCCATAATGTCTTAGTGGTACAGGTCTCCCCCAACATTTTTGAGGGTTAGGGGATCAAAAGCCCGTGAAAAGTTGAAAAATCGCGAAAAGTTTGGTTTTCCCCAATATATTGTAGGGAAATATAATGCAATTTCTGCTTCCAAACTTGTTGAACCATGAACAATCATAAAAAAAAATGAAAATGTCGTAAAATTTTTGTTTAAAAATACAGTTATTTGGGTTTTAAAAACATGTATGTTTTTTAAATACCACTGCCTCCCCCAGTCCTGGCCCCTCCCTCGACCCCTGGCGCACTGCTGTATTTTTTACAATTTTTTTTCAAAATTTTTTGTGTTTTTTCAATTTTTTTTACCAAAAAGGGGGGAAAACCCGTAGTTTCTTTGGGGGCCCCCGGTTAATTATGTGGCAGTCCCCACCCCAATTTTACAAGCACCCAAAACAATGAATTATTGTGAAAAATTTTGGAAAATGTGGAGTCTAAGCTCACTCCAGCATCACAAAGCCACACTGTTGGGGATGCATCAACCATTCTTCCACCACTGCTTCAAACCCCCATAAATTTTTTTACAAAATTTTCCCTTTAATTTATCGTATTATTTTTTATTATTAGCAGAAGCGAAATGTTTGATTCTTTTTCTGTGTTCAAGAGTAAAAATTGATGTCACCGTTTTTAAAAAGTCTGAATACCTTTTCCAAAATTTTAGTCATGAATGGGGGTTTACATTTTTTTATACTGTTTTGTTTAATAGCAAATAATGAGCAAACAAAACACTCACCACACTGAGTGGTGGGAGGGCTGGCTGCCAGTTGTTGGGGTCGGAAGGAGGGTAGTAGGAACTCGCGGGTGGTGGGAAACTTAAATATGATTTGGTGGCTGGGAATTTGACAGTTGGGAATTTGGCGGCTGGGAATTAGCGAATGTGTGAAGCCCACGAAAGTTGAAAACGCGAATGTTGAGGGAGACCTGTATTTTTTTAACACATCATCTGTTTTCCACCAAGGCAGAGTGACCCAAAAAAGAAGAAACACTTTCATCATCACTCATTCCGTTAGTCTTAACCGGAGGCATGCTTATACTGCAGTTCAAAACTGCAACATATCTCCACCTCTCCTTGATACTGTATGTTGCTCATAATTTTACAGTGATGAAAGCTTTACTGCAAATCACTAAGTCACTATCTGACCACGTTCAGTCCCCTCCCCTCCAGCTGGTTTCTGCGGTGGATCTTATAAAGTCACTCTTGTCTGAACTACAGTAAAAACGTTGGGAAAATTCTTGGGAGGGTATCATGCAAGATGCAGTTAATTTGTGTAAAGCAGCTGGCTCTCAGGAATTTGTTGTTGATTCTCAGCTTGGATATCATCAGGAAATAACTACTACTCATGAATTCTGCACACATGCTTACTTTCCTGTCATGAACAGGTTAATCAGTGAATTAAACAGAGAGTTTTCCAACTCATTTAACAAGCTAAGCTTCATCAACAGTGAATCCTCAAAATGCTTCATTTCTAGATAAAATTAAAGCGTTAAGTTTCATCAAGTGTGACATCTTCTTAAGAGAAAAACAACAGTCATTATGTCCCAACCCCACTTGAATTTGCACTATGCTCAGACCATAGCAAGGTGCTTTCATGGATCTGTATAAGTTGGTGTATACGTGTATCAGTATAATTTTGCCAGTTAATTCTCCAGCAGGTGAATATAGCTTTCTCTGACTCTGAGTGACAAAAACTTGAGCAACAACAGTAATAACAGCAGTAGTTAGTAGTAATACAGTTACTCCTTTAAATCTGAAAAAATGCCAAGTCTGAATGCTGAAAATATCATTGATACTTTTGCTTCCATCCACAACTTGTATTTATAAAATGTGTATTATATGGTAGTTTTTTTGTTTGTTTGATGGCTAAAGGAGGCTTGGATAATTCATTGTAGAAGTTTAGGAAGAAATGCATGTATCCCCTTTGCAGTTTTCCTCTTCACCCACCCACTAGTAGAAGGGAATAACCCCCTCCCACATTCATTTTCTACCTTGTATTTGCCTTATATGCTTGTTGATATAGGTGATGTACACTGCAGTGCTGTGTTAGTACAGTGGAACCTCGGGTTACGAGTGCCCCACCAAATGAGCTTTTCAGGATGCGAGTAGTCGCTCAGTCAATTTTTTTGTATCTGGATACAGCAAAAATTCAGGATATGAACTTCCCCCTCCAACAACTTTTTTTTTTTAGACCTCCAGATCTTACAAAAATAAAAGTGAATGTATAATTGTAGTTCATTGTTGTGATGTATTATGTTGTTTTTACTGTTTAAGACTATAATTGCAACAGAAATAATAGTATTTCTTACCCTAAATTGTGGGTTTGTGGATGATTGTGAAGAGAGTGGAGAGTTATGTTGTGGTCCTACTGGGCTGAGGTGGATGGTAGAGGTTCTGGTACTGAAGTCGATGGCTGTACTGTAATGTGCACAAATTCTGTAATGGATTTCTGTTCTCTTTTACCCTGCAGTACATTATACAACTGACAGTAAGGCATCAGCCGCTCTAGACACCATTTCAGGGTCCTCTTCAGTGAAAAAGTCTAACTTTAAGTCAGTAAAGTCGTTCAGTCAGTCAGTAAGTCATTCAGTAAGTCAGTAAGTCATCAACACTGGTATGCCTACTGGGTGTCATGATTGCTTGGCAGATACAGGATATGGTAATTAAAAGATCAAAACACAGTTCACAAACACAGTTAGCTTGTAGGAGAGAAGTGGAACTGAACACACATTCACGAAGCTGAGATGGTGGTGTCGGGAGTGTGGGAGTATCCGGGGATGGCGAGAGGTCTTCCCCGCAGCTGCTTGAGGTAGGGAATGGCCGCCACCACTTGTCACATGATGACATACTTTATTCATTCATATTATTTTATTAATTTTATTCAGGTTTCTATGTTATTTATATTGTTTATTATGTCATGTTAAATGAATTGTGATAAATAAATAAGCCATAGAGTTGATATTAGCATCATATTGAACCTTTTTTTCCTGCCTCCCAGAGCAGGAATTCCGCTGGAATGGATTAATGGCACTTCAATTAATTTAAATGAGGAAAATTGACTCTACATACGAGTAGATTGAGATATGAGCAAATTCACGGAATTGATTTAGCTCGTAAGTCGAGGTTCCAATGTATGTAGTTATGAAATTTACAGTAGCACTTCAGCTTTGGATTATTTTTATTTCATGTACGGGGAAGTGCTAAACCTGTATGGGTCATACAGCATTTAGGGAATGGGAGGGTGACTCCAATTTGTTGTATCAAAAGCTCTTTACCTGTCTCAAGGCACCCTTCTTGGAGGGTTCAGATTTGAATGTACATTAGTAGGATAATAGAAGTGAGTGTAGCTGGTTAGAATACATTGAAGAGGTTGGCACATTTCTCTTGCTGTATTAAAGTCCCTACTGTGAAACATTAGTGTCTTACAGATACAGTACTGCAGTGTAATATACCTGGCAGAACAGAAGGAGAATACCGTACCAAATGTGTTCCCAGAGCAATCAGCTAACAATCAGAGTAGAACTTCGATTTGGGTTAATTTCTGAGCCATATCACCTTTTTTTTTTTTTTTTTTTTTTTTTTTTTTTTGGGGGGGGGGGGCAGTATGTGACGTGTATAATTATTTGTAAACAATGGCTTCATTAATATATATGACTTAATTAATTGTTATTTTTTCATTTACTTTTTTATTACTGGTTATGACAGGGTATTTTTAATTTGCCTTCTTATTCCATGTTAATCTCTTACTTTATTTTTTCTTCCTTATATTCTTTTCCCAGTTCTTTATCGCCTTTTATTCTTTTCAGTTTTTATTTTGTTCTTTTTTCATTAATCTCTTACCTCTTAATATTCTCTGTTTCCCCTATACTTATTTTGTATTTAACATTAGGTAATTTGTAGTGCAGGTTTGTTAGTAAGCCACTAAGCAAAATGTGTTTATTTATTTATTTCTTTTTTTTAAACCTGTGTGATAATTTTTTGCAGTGACTGTAACTTCATGTGTATTATTTTGCTTGGTTAATTTTCTTCTGTTTTGCTTACAGTGACGAAGTTCATTCGTATTGGAATTGCTGACAAGAATGACAACCCACCCTTCTTCGACAAGACATTGTACGAGGCTGAAGTGGATGAGAATGAGGATATTCAGCACACAGTTCTCACAGTCACTGCTAAGGATCTTGATGAGTGTAAGTAGCTGTTGTCTTGTGCATGCATGAAACAGGCATTAACCCTTTCAGGGTCCAGACCCAAAATCTGAGACTTCTCCACAGGATCCAAGAATTTTCCTCCCAAAAATTTATTTTTTCTTATGAAATGGTAGAGATTTTTTTTTCTGAAGGTAATAAAACAAAAAGTATGAAATTTGATGGAAAATTGATGAAATTAACCCTTTCAGGGTCCAAGGCCCAAATCTGGAGTCACGCACCAGTGTCCAAGAATTTTCAAAAAAAAAATTTGTTATTTTTTCTTATGAAATCATAGAGAATCTTTTTGTGAAGGTAATAAAACAAAAAGTACGAAATTTGGTGGAAAATTGACGAAATTATGCTCTCGCGAATTTTGATGTGTCAGCGATATTTACGAATCGGCGATTTTGCCGACTTTGACTCCCATTTTAGGCCAATTACATTATTCCAATCAACCAAATTCTTAGCTATTTCACTAGTATTACTTCTATTCTATCGATTGAGCACAAGAAATCACCAATTCAACTGTTTCAACTACAAAATAAAGTGATCGGAAATTGTTAATTTGGCCAATTTAACACAAAGTTCAAAATATTCCAATTTCAAAATAGGCTCCAGAATAAACAATGTAGGTATTCCTGGAACTAAACTAACATTTCCTCTGTTCATTAGTTACATTTTGAGGCTTTACAAATAAATTCCATTTTGATTTTTTATTCACATAATGAATTTTTATTCACACCAAAAAATAGAAGATTTACTGTTATGCAATACTGTAATAATTGTATAAATATCATCACCATATTTGTGAATGTATATTAGACCCACCAGCTGACGTGTATTAGACGTGTGAGGTCGTTTGTTTACTCTTGAATATCAGCAAAAATTTAACATTTCCGCTACTTTGAGCTCAGTTTCAAGCCATTTCCAGTGCTAAAACCAATTAAAATCATCTCTATTTCTGTAATATGTCTTCCATTCTATCAAATGAGACCAAGAAATCGCAAATACAGCTATAAAAAACATACGAAAAAACACTGCAAAGTCGCTGTTTTAATCGAAAAATCATGATTTCAGTTTTTTTCTCTCATTATACACAGTGTGCTGCAGGATCTGTTTTATGTGGTGCACACATACCACATAGATGTATTCTCTCATATCTAGGCCCAAATGTACCACTCACAGTTTATCAGAGTGAGCTGAGCTCATGGCGTAGATCTACGGTTTGGACACTCACCGTAAAGCCGTAGATCTACGGGACGGACCCTGAAAGGGTTAAGCTCTCACGAATTTTAATGCATCAGCGATATTTATGCATCGGAGATTTTGCCGACTTCGACTCCCATTTTATGACAATTACATTGTTCCAGTTGACCAAATTCTTAGCCATTTTGCTAGTATTACTTCTATTTTATCGACTGAGCACAAGAAATCACCAAGTCAACTGTTTCATCTACCCAATAATGTGATCAGAAATTGGTAATTTGGCCAAATTAACACTGTTCAAAAAATTCCAATTTCAAAATAGGGTCCAGAATAAACAATGCACACATTCCTGGCACTAAACTAACATTTCATCTGTTCATTAGTTACATTTTCAATCTTTACAAATGAATTCCATTTTTATTTTTTATTCACATAATGAATTTTTATTCAAACCAAAAAATGGAAGATTTACTGTTATGCAATATTGTAACAATTGTATAAATAATATCACCACATTCATAAAAGTATATTAGACCCACCAGCTGACACATATTAGACGCGTGACGTTATTTGTGTACTTTTGAACATCGGCAAAAATTTAACATTTCAGCTACTTTGAGCTCAGTTTCAAGCCATTTTCATTACTAAAACCAATCAAAATCATCTCTATTTCTATTATATGTCTTCCATTCTATCAAATGAGACCAAGAAATCGCAAATACAGCTATAAAAAACATACAAAATAAAAAACACTGCAAACTCGCTGTTTTAATCCAAAATTGTGGTCTGTTTTTTTTTCTGTCGTTTTGCTGCAAGATTTGTTTTATGTGGTGCACACTTACCACATAGATCTATTCTCTCATATCTAGGCCCAAATTTACTGCTCACGGCTTATCTGAGTGAGCTGAGCTCATGACGTAGAACTACGGTTTGGACCCAGAACTCAAACCCGTAGAACTACGGCACAGACCCTGAAAGGGTTAGAGAATGTAATGGTAGATGGTATGGGAGTACTAACAAGTTGCAGTTGATAATGACACAAGCAGCAAAGGAAAACTTTTAAGACAAAGCTTTGTCTTGCAGCAGGCTTTATCAAGTCTAAGATCAGGTGATAAGACTTGATAAAGCTGCAAAGCATTGTTGTAATGAAGGGTCCAGTTGTGTTTGTGTGTCTTTATCAACATTAAGAGAGCATGCAGTGTATAATAGATGAGTGAAGTAGAAAAAGGATAATGGATCTAAGGTTTGTGAGGAACTGTGGCTGAATTCATGGCTATATTGGCAGAGATGAAGCTTTGCATGATGTAAATGCAGTAAAAGAAGAGCAAGGATAGCAGAGAGTCTGAGAAAATGTGCACGAAGATTTTGACATAATAAATTAAAAAAATGGTTTGAAAGCTTATATTAACCCTTAAACTGTCCAAACGTTGATCTGCATTCACGCGTGTAGGGCTCCTAACGTACATCTATGTTCGATTTTACATTCTTATGTAAAAAAAAGTAGATCTACGTTTGGAGCACTACACGTGCAAACGTAGATCTACGTTTGGACAGTTTAAGGGTTAACCCTTTGAGGGTCAGTCACGTACATATACGTCTTAACCGCCAGGGTCGGTCATGTACTTATACGTGTAAATTCTAGCACCTTCAAATTGAGCGGGAGAAAGCTGGTAGCCCTACATGTGAGAGAATGGGTCTGAATGGTGAGTGTGCACAGTAGGAAAAAAATCGAGGCACCCGCATTGCATTGTGGGAATGCCATTTGAGTACGCCTTGTTCACCATGCCTCGCAGTAAGAAACTCCTCACTCCACGGCAAATTGGGACTCTTTTGTTCCCAAGTGATAGTTCAAACACCAATGGAAGTGTCAGTGAAGAAGAATTTCATGGTTTTGAGGAGTTTGTGACTGAAAATAATGAACATAATGCCAGTAATAGTGCTCAAAACCCAGACGACCATCAACCTTCCACCTCTTGTGCAGGGCCGTCTTGTTCACATTCATTTGTATCGGAATGAAAGAGGAAACTTGTATTTTCCAGGGTCCAGGACTCGGATGTAAGCAGTGCTGATGATAGTGAATATATCCAAGCTTTTGAAAACAGTTTCATTAGCGAGAGTGAAGTGGAATATTCCCCATTAAAGCGTCAGTATATATGACACTACCTGCACTCTGGTAGTGTGCCATATGCTATTCCAACGGGAAGGAGTACATCTTGGAGTACATCCCATGGCCATAAAACAGGAACAGATAGTGAAAATGAAGATGATGTTGTTACAGTTGGGATGAATAATGTGCATTCATCATCAGATGGTGGTGGTGCATGCACCATGAGACACCAGCAGTGGCCCATGCTGGTACCCACACTGCTGATTCAGCTGAGGTACAATAAAGCCCACCCTCACCCACTCACCACACCAAGCTCCACAACCACAACCACCTCTCAATATCCAGTACCCACCAGCAGACTGCACCTGGGATTGGCAGGAAGGTGCCAGTTTTGTTACCGGTCCCTATCACTTTGATGGAAGTCAAAGTGGAATACGGCCATCTTGTACACTTGGGAACCTTGCCACTGAACTGGAATGTTTCGAGTTATTCTTTGATGAACCCCTGATGGAAATTATTGTCAGGAAGGCAACACATACTTCGATTACACCATGGCAAACACAATTCTTTCACCAAGATCACACCTACACCAGTGGAAGGAGACAACTGTGGCTGAGATGTATCTTTTCTTTGCCTCAATGTTGCTTATGCCACAGTGTCAAATCATACTTGTCGACAGAGTGCCCGATTGCAACCCCATCTTTCCTTGATGTAGTACCAGTGAATCGATTTGTGCTGCTATTACGTATGCTACACTTCTCAGACAAAAACAGGCCTGACAGAAAAGACAGGTTATAAAGGATTAGGAATGTGTTTACGTATCTGAAACAGAAATTCAATATGTATTTTTATCCCTTCATGAAGCTTGTTATTGATGAGTCCTTGATTTTATTCGAAGGTAGACTGTCATTCAAACAGTATGTACCAAGCAAGAGGAAACATTTTGTTATAAAGTTGTTTGTATTTTGTGATTGCTACAGTGGTCTTGTATTGAATATTATTGTGTAATACATTACAAGATACCAAGAAGTTATTGGGTATCTCTGGTGATGTGGTTAGAACAATGATGGAACCATATCTTGGTAAGGGGCATATATTATATACTGATAACTAGTACACAAACCCCTTACTCAGTGATTTCTTGCAAGTGAACATGCCTAGGTTCAAGTTTGGCACTCATAGAGGTGTGGTACAGGCATTTGCTGCCAATGACATCATGGCATTTCTGTGGCATGACAAATGAGATGTCACACTGCTGACATCAATTCACCAAAATGAAATGACAGTGGCAGGCAGAAAGAGACCAATGAACCCATTCTAAAACCTGCAGAGAGCGAAACATTGCCGCAATAAAATGTCACATTAGTTGCACTTGTGTCCTTTTAAGAACATAAGAAAGGAGGAAACACTGCAGCAGGCCTCTTGGCCTATACTAGGCAGGTCCTTTACAATCCATCCCACTAACAAACTATTTGCCAATCCCAATTTTCAATTGTACCCAAGAAATAAGCTTTGATAATTCTATTCACTCACATGCAAGTCCTACTCGAACCCTCTCACTCATGTATTTATCGAACCTAAATTTGAAACTACCCAATGTTTTAGCTTCAATAACCCTGCTAGACAGACTGTTCCACTCATCAACTACCCTATTTCCAAACCAATACTTTCCTATATCCTTTCTAAA